AAAAACCATTTTGATAAGCCCAAGCATCCATAGAACACTCTATCACCATTTCAACCTCATTACTTTATTTAATAAAAGCTATTAAAGCTCTTATCCCTATGCCCAACCATAGGTATCATAACTATTTGAGCATTCATCAAAGTAGTATTTCATTCATGCTAGAGTTTGTATAAATTTTTAAACCACATCAACATATGTCAAATAACTCGAGTGGGCTAGTGCAAATATCAATCAAATGTTGTGATTTATCACTTGCAATTTTAACACACTTTCGTATTTGGAAATCAACTTCTACTTTTAGTATCAAATCAAAATTCAACAACTTTGTTCAAATTCATGAGTTCCAATAAATCATTTTATAAATTATAATGCCCAATAAATAAGACATAAGTTATTTTAGTCTTAGCCATATAGTGGATTACAATCAATACATCAAAGAGACCTTCATCAAAGTATGGTTTTGCTAAAAATACATCCTTTTCGACATAACAAATTTTTTGGTCTCATAAACTAATTTAATTTTGGTATTATTAAATGAATGATCTTTAAACTAGATTCTGGTAGAAGTTTCAGACTTTTAGGACATCCGAGATCGCCAATTTTATTTTTAGCGCCAATTTAAGGCTTGATTGTTTATGAAATAATTTGTTCAAAATGAGTAATTTTGGTTAACTATAGTTAATTTTGAAAAAGGTGGTATGGTTAGTTGTAGTGAAATTTTAAGAATGTATTAAAATAATATTTAAAATAAAATAATTAAAATTGATTTGATCTAAAAGTAAGAGATAAATGATTGTAAATGATTGGAAATGATAGGTAGTTAAAATTATGTGAGTGGATGAATAGTGATTTAAAGTTGATGTGATATGTAACAATGATTGGTTTGTATTATATATTTAATTATATGAATAATATTAAAGATAGTGGGATTGAGTTAAAGTTGAGTTAGATTTTGAGTTGAAATAAAAGTGAGTAAATTATTTGGTAAACAATCACCCCCTTAACGTTTCTTTAAGCACTTGAAGCTATGTAATTCCATAAATTGCTTCTTTCCTCGTTTGGGGTATGAGACTTAAACATTTTTTTATCAACGCCTATGTATTGAGTGGCATTCTTACATGTCCGCTATTAACTTGAATTTATATTATAACTAAGTAAATATTTAGACAATGACGAACAAATAACGCTCTGACAAGTCTTATCTTATCTCAATTATTTTTCCTTCGTTATTCCACTTTTGAATCCAATAATATTTGGCAAGATGATCGGGTTTTCCAAATTGTAGTTATTCCCGTGCTTTCATATTTTGTTTCAATAATGAAATAAGTTTTAACTATAATAAATAAGGTATATTGTATTAAAAAAACCAAATCGTTCAAACAACCAAACATCGAACCAACAAGACCTAATGCCTACACAAGCCTAACCGAGCCCAGTTGTTCCCTTTCTAGCCGCGACCTTGAGGCTATGCTGGCTTGCACAAAGTATGCCCAAGGTCGCCAACGCTAACCTAAGTCTAGCGATTGGCGTGCACCTAGGACTGCATAACTCCATCGAGCGAGAAGACGACCTCTTTTATCTTCAATCTTCTTAATAATCACAAAAGTCCCTAGATTTGATCAATATAGAAGCCCATACTTCAATTACATCCATTATGGTTCATATATGAGTTCGCCAAGAAAGGCATAAAGGGCACACTCCACTTAATAATACCTACAAAAAAGATTCCCAAGTGTCAAATGCTTTGACGCCCTTCACCACGGAACAACATTTAAAAGGATGAAATTGTGCAAGGCAAAAAAAATTTGAGGATAAGAATCAGTGAATTTTAAATTAGCATCATATTCCATGGTTAGCATGCAATTAGAAATTTTAAATCTATTCTTTTAAAAAAATATTTAAATATAACCAAAATATTTAAATACATATCATTTATATTCAAAATATATTTAAAAATCTTAAATCTATTCTTTTTTTTTTAAAAAAAAAAAAAAAAAAAAACAAAATAAAAACAAGAACTAGTACGTCCAACTGGTTTTTGACCGGTTTGGACCGATTATTTTGCAATCGATTTTTCAAGAGAATCGGTCAGGTCAGGGGACCGGTTCCCAATCCGACAGTCCGACTCTCATAACTATGGTTTTATCAATAATGTCTAACGAAAGATTTACTTCTGTAAAATTCCCCAAATTCAAGACAAGATAATTACTTCTTCACAACAATGATATAATCAAATATCAAGTAACTGGAAAGAGAAGAGAGTGAAAGAGCCCAATTATCTATTCATGACTTGGATAAATGAAGTATCTGCAAAATACAAGTAAAGCATGCTGTATAATCCGTGTGCCCTTTCTCGCCAAAACATCACTACAGGATTCTATCTTTTATTCCTCGAAAGGTTCAAAACAAAATATTCGAGAAAAAAAAATGGGAGCTGAATCTACTATAACCTGCACACAGAAATAGATTCAAGCCAATGACAAGAAAAAATCGTCCTTCCACAAAATATGTTAGACGCAAAACTTGAGATTGCACGAGATCAAGAAGAAGCCACAGGCGTTGGCTTGTGTTCTTCAGGATGACCATGTCTGAGATTAAACACGCCAGCAAGCCCTCGTGCCTTGGCCATCTGCTCAATCTCTCTAAGTTTTTGCTTTAGAAGCTCCACCTCGTTCGTTAACTCTTCATCCCGTTGCCTCAATCCCTAAGAGACCATAATAAGTTTTTTCCTCAAATGGGAATGAGCGCATAAGGAAATATCAGTAAACAACTTTTCCTATACGTTACCTCAATTTCTTGTTTGCGGAGGTCCTCCTTTTTGGCTTCCGATCGAGCATTCCTTTGCACCTCAAATATGAGAGCGCCTACTCCCACCTAATATTTATGTAATTCAAAAATCATAAATAGAAAAAGTAGAAAAGTACCAAAAAAAAAAATAATAATAATTTGATTAGGCAGTAAAACTAAACCAACTATTGATGCTCGTCAAGATTTTCTCAATATATATCTAAAGTCATTATTGCATCTGAAGAATGTGTATTACCAACCAAAATGAAGACATCAAAATATTGAATAAGTTAATTTGATTTACTTAAGACTACTGATCTGGAAAATTATTATGCATGTCTATTGATGCTCGTCAACATTTTCTCAATATCTATCTAAAGTCAATATTGCATCTGAAGAATGTGTATTACCAACCAACCAACCAAAATGAAGACATCAAAATATTGATTAAGTTCATTTGATTTACTTAAGACTACTCAACAACAAAGCCTTTTAGTCTCAAACAAGTTGAGGTAGGCTAGAGATGAAGCCCAAGAGAAACCGTGGTAAGAGAAACACAACAAAGGGCTCAACACAAAACAAAACAAAACAAAAACACAACAAAAGAAAGAGAATGGAGCAAAAGAGAAAGGAGCAAAAGTCACGGCTCCGGCACGTTGATCGCTAGCCTCCAAGCGCTCCTATCCACCGCTAAATCCTTGGAGATATTCCAATTTTTAAGGTCTCTCTGAACCGACTCTTCCCAAGTGAGTTTAGGCCGACCTCTACCTCTCTTAACATCATCGGCCCGCTGAAGAACCCATACGCACCGGTGCATCAGGAGGCCTCCATTGGACATGTCCGAACCACCTCAGCCGATGTTAGGAAGAAATGTTGTAACTACTAACCCACGGAGCGCCCTTCTTACGAAGAAGTCTCATCTCGCAATGCCTCTATTGAAAATGTTGTTTTAGACCCCAACATCAAACAATTCTCCAAAAGGGCCAAGGGTATGATCGCCGAATAAGATAAAGCACGTATCTGGAGGGTCCAAAAAGAAGCGTTTTATTCGAAAAATGCCTTGGTCTTTGACAACTTTATTGAATTAGTGAATCACTACGATATAATACCGCAGTGATTCGCTAGTTTGGATCTTTCGTGTATAATCCTGCATAATCTCGAATGTTAAACCAATTTCTCCTCAATTGGAGCCACCCCGACCCTATCTCGAATATCTTCATTCCGGATTCTATCCCTTCTTGTGTGTTCGCAGCACCAACGCAACATACGCATCTCTGCTACACTTAGTTGTTGGACATGTTGTCTTTTTGTAGGCCAACATTCAACACCGTATAGCATCGTCGGGCGAATTGCCGTCCTATAGAACTTACCTTTTAGCCTTTGTGGCACCCTCTTATCACAGAGAACGCCCGAAGCTTGACGCCATTTCAACCAACCGGCTGCAATTCTATGCCTAACATCTTCATCAATGTCACCATCATTTTGTAGCATCGATTCTAAATACCGGAAAGTCTCCTTCTTGGCCACCACTTGCCCGTCAAGGCTAACGTCACCATCATCATGAGTAGCCATGCTGAAAGCGCACGTATGTACTCGGTCTTCGTCCTACTAAGTCTGAAGCCTTTCGACTCTAACGTGTCTTTCCACAGCTCTAACTTCCTATTTACCCCTGCCCTACTGTAACAACAAATTTTATGTAAAACATAAAACTTTTGTACAACTTGATTATATTTCGATCAAACGATATGCGGGTACAATCTCTATTTATCTCCTCTGATTCTTCTCTGCT